GGGGGGGGCGTAGGGGGGGGGTAGGGTGCAGCCAACACAAAATGTGTGGTTCCATCTGCTTGGCCGCCTTCCAAAACAACAAATTCGGTTGTTTTGGGTAGGGCGAGGGGGGGGGAAGGGGCCGCGAAGAGAAGGGCAAGGGCAGGCGGGAGGCTGGGGGCGGGTAGGGAAATGGGTCACAAAACGTTGGAGTATGGAGGTGGGTTACAATACGCGTGGTACCATCCAGGTAGGAAGCAAGCCGCGCGGGTCCATGGGGAAGGGCACTAGCGGGTCCAGCGGGAAAGGTACGAGTCCAGCTTCTTGACGCCGACAAAGGGGGTCGGCGGATTAGACGGAGGGTTCCTGTGAGAGCACCCCGTAAACTGGCTGCAGAGGGGGTTCACAATGTTCACGCAGTGAATGCAAGGGGGCGTATAGCCACGAGAGCGAGGATAGGAACCAGGCGGAGGTCCATCCACCCGAAACCCAATGCCTGAAGTTCGAATAGCACCGGCAAACTTCAGAGCCCTAGCTCTGATCGTGGCCTGGTGCCTTCAGTTTTCCCTGCCCGAGCCCTCTGACTGGCAAGGAGCCGCTTCCACCTTGTCACTCCAGTTTCCGCTTCTCTTTGTGAAAACTGTTACTATAACTACATTCGTGCTGGAAACCGTGGCTTGTGCATGTCATGGGCAACAGGCCTGGGCTCAGGATGTTGTCTTGACCTTGGCCATGTTTTCCGGAGCTGGTTCCAGTGTTTCTGACCCGTGCTTTCTCATAGCCGTGTGGTGTGTTCCTGAATGTTTCCCAAGAGCTCTCCAAGACTATGAATTCCGAATTGACTTTCCAGTGACCGCAGGCATGGCATTGGACGTTCTTGAAGGACGCCAAGCTCGAGAGGCAAAGTCCATCGAGAACTTCAGGTCTGATCTGCTCTGAAAAACCGTGGTTGTTGCAATCTAAGAATAGCACGATCGCCATGGGCGTGGACCTGTTCACTGCCGCGCTACTATGTGTAGAAGCGCAGGACAACGACAGCTGCGATGACGACCCTCCAGCAATTGCATGCAAATCTGGCATGTGGAAAATTGAAACTTTGCAGTCTCAGTCTGGCTAACCACCTGTGTACTGAGTTGGGCAATCGGCAGGCCTTCCTTTTCCAGGAACATCAGGCTTATGCGTCCAAGAGGCTGTTGAAGGCACGCATGTTCACTCACATGGCAAGAGAACAGTCGCTACCAGAGTTGTGCTCATTTTCGTGGTCTACTGGTGGCAGGATCGTGAGCCGATCGATCCCGTGGTGGCTGGGTCTTACTAGACGGTACTGCAGCTGCAAAAGGCGGAGGCGTCAAGAAAAAGGAACGCTTGAACGGGTAGAACGGCACTTGTTGGCGCAGCCCTTGCTTCATGTTGAATCCCTCTCGAAGGCTTCGCGGCTCGAGGTGCTGTTTGCTTTTTGTTGACTCGCCCCGCTCATGCTTGAAACTGCTTGAACATGCTTGAGCTCCCACCAAGAGCAGCGTCATGCTTGTCTTCAGTACGTTTTCATCCATGCGATATTCGTCTGGGAAGTGTTTCTGCCTTCCAAGCCAAGCCTGTCACTGCTGGTGCGAGCATTTTTGCCTTCACGGCCGTTGCTTCACTGTGTGGAAGAACGAGATTCCGCACGCGACGCTTTAAAAAGTGCTGTTCGGCCCGGACTGCTGCTGACAAAACACCCGGCGTGAAGCCACCTTCTCGCTTGAAAGTCGTTGGCAGCCGGTTTGTGGACGAGGAAGGCCGCATAGTTGTGCCGAAGGGCATTAACTTCTCAGGACTCTCCAAGGTGCCCTTGAACCCCAACGGTGCAACACACCTCGGAGGAAGTCAGTTCTATGAGCATCGCCAGGTGTCCTTTGTTGGCAGACCATGTCCCATTGAGGACCTGGACATGCATCTGCAACGCTTGCGGGACTGGGGCTTCAACTTGCTGAGACTGCTGGTCACCTGGGAAGCTCTGGAGCATGCCGGCCCAGGAGTATATGATGATGACTATATAAGTTTCATCCGAATGGTTTGCTCACGAGCAGGAGAGTACGGGTTCCGGGTTCTTATCGATCCACATCAAGACTGCTGGTCGAGGTGGACAGGGGGGGATGGCGCTCCCGGCTGGACTCTTGAGGCCACTTCACGAGCCAAGCCCAGAGTACAAGTCGGTACATTATAGTACACTAGAGTGCACTATGGTACAATAGAGGACAGCATGTCTCTTAACTACACTTTAGTGCAGCGTTGCTTGCTGAAGGAGTCCGAGTCGACAAACGCAAAGAACATACTCAATCATTTACCGAAAGTCGACCCCAAGCCCTGTGCACCCGGGTTTAGCCATGTTTTTTCAGCACGATCCTTTTTTTTGCGGGCGTGTTGTTTTGTTGGTTTTGGTTTGTCGTGGAGCGTGCAGGGTTTCCGGCAGCCATCAAAGCTTTTGGCGTTCGTTGCTGCCCGATGGGTTTCATGCGCAGCAATGCACAATGCTTCGCAGTACACAATATGTCAACATGCGGAAAATTGAAAGCATTTGACATGGCCTTCTGTTGCAGGGGCTGAGCCTGGGCTTGGTAACCAATGTTGGCCAGGGTTGGCGACATGCCATTGCACTCAGTGCGCTCTTCCGGAGTGTATACATACTGTGCTCCGAGCCATAACGAGCAATGCGGACTCGGAGACTTAACATTGACGAACCCAATTTCAGCTGTCTGTGTGTGTGACACCTGCAACCACTGCAGGAAGAGACTTCTCCGTTGCGTTCCTTTCATGGTTTCAAACATTGATGTTGCAGGGGGCACCTGGGCCATGGACAGGTCAGGTGCCAACTAGTGCCAACGAAGACACCTATCCATTGGCTGTGATATGGAATCGGGACGCGGAATCCACGTACATGCATGTGTTCGAAAGGCGGGAGCCTTCTCGATTTACAGAAATGAGTGTTCGAAGTCAGGCCCTCAGACATAGACATAGACATGGTTGCAGACTACTGGAATTGACATGACTGTATTCAATGATTGCGAAGCATACTTGCGCAGCGGGTAGTTCAATGTGCAGATTAGAATGCTAGCCGGAGGCGCCATAGGTTCCACACCATGCAGTTTGCAATCAGCCATTGCTGTGAACATGCCAGCATGGTTCACGATCAAACATGGCGATCACAAGTTTCACCCTACATCTTTACCTATGACACTACATGATACAGTATGACAGATGGGGGTTGGACATTATGTCAAATCTTAGCAGCAATCGCGATCAGTGTGTGTGTGTGTGGGGTGTGTGTGTGTGTGTGTTTGGGGCCTCATGGTTCTTCAGATACTCATGCTATGGTTTTACACTGCAATTTATGGGGAGTCATCGTCGGCGAGCAAATTGCAGCCATCAGTGTGCTTGGTTTGCACTGGCAGGGCATTTTGGGCTTCAGGCCCGGCAAGTGTGATTCACAAAAAGCGCCAAGATGGGATTCCAATGCCTCGTCAACGAGATTCGTGATACTTCCATTTCGGTTCCCCCAAACCCGAACACGTGCACCCTGCGACTATCAGACGAGGACTCCTGTTACAGGTTCGCCATTTTAGTTGGTCATGGCTATATACACAATAAACACTGTGTCTCTCGAAAACCGCGGTGTAGCGCAGCCAGCCACACTTGGGGTCAAGACTGCAGAGGAACTTCCCGCTTCTGACGCCTACCAGAGTGCACTCGAGCACAGTAAATTTAGGACCCTCTGGCTCAAGCCGCCAACCCCTACAGGAGAACAGGGTGTAGTTGAAAGGGTGCAGAGGTTCAAAGCAGGTTCGAAGTAGGCTCCCAGAGGTCCCAGGGGGGTCCCAGACTCTTTTCCGCAAAACCCATCCTACACGCCGCCAAGGTCGGCGGATTTAAAGTACATTAGAGTACGCAATATCCTTTTTGACAATACTTCTGCCTGCAGGCTGCTGGCTTTCGGGTAGGCCCTGATCTTCACAAGTCGGGCGCTGCTTTCCTACATCAGGAGAATGGAGACCCGCTGCCATCAATGTCCTGGCCCTCCAATTACGACAGGTTGGCATGCGCAACCATGTTTAGTCACTGGGCCCATTTACGAATTAGCGCGACGCGCAGGGCATGGACCATTGACTAAGCTTCAGTTGCCGATATCAACCGAAATCACATCTTGTGCCAATCACGACAATCCAAGAGCGTGTGCAATGGCAGACCGCGGCAAGGCTTGTTTTGGGCCGGAGACCGCATTGCACCGGGGATTGCTGGCCAACTCGGTACAGGCACCTGCAACTGGGCGTAAGTGGTTCTGAGCCTGAAAGCGGCCCAGGAGAATGAGACTTGAGATGTCTTGCGTGGTGGCATTTGCCGCAACAGCATTTTCTAATCAAGATGAGGCAAGAAGCAGGAATGTGTAATCATCAGAGGATTGGCATCGTACTGTAACTTCTGCATGTCTGCCGCCCTGTGCATCACGCCCGCAGAAGGCTACGAAGCAAACTAAACATAGACCGTTCGTCCCAGATGTCCGAAGCTTTTCTAGAGTGATGCATTCCAACGCCCACACACAGCGCAATGGGCGTGAACGAACTCACACCGCGGGCCCGTGCGTTCCACGAGCTGCCGCTCAAGGTGACCACCAATGGAGTGCCTGCAAGGTGGGGTTAGCGGATGTTTCGTCTAGCAGACGACCAAGTAGCAGACCAGATTAGAGGAATATTTCTTTGTCTAGTTAACCATCAAGTCATTTTCCAGGACTTCGCGAGCTCCCCTGGGCTACGGCCACCGAACATCGGCGCTTCCTGCCTGGCCGGAGCCGCTTCAAACCTTCAATGGCCCCAAAAAAACCCAAAACCCATCCGTACCAGAGGCTGCCGGCATGCCGACTAGATTGGCAGCATCGCCGAGCAGATGGCGCGGCTGGCTGCTGCGTCGAAGCGAGTGTTTGCAACCACAGATGCAAAAACTGGACCCGAAGCCTAACACGTCGCTTTCACCTCCCGAAGATTGCAACGATGCTTGCAACACGAACTGCTTGGAACAGTGTCTGGGCATCCACCAGCCATTCAGATGGATACCGATACAGGTGCGGGAGTTGGAGGACGATTACTTCCGAGGGGTCTACGTCAACTCTCTTTCCTTGTCTTTCCGACTTGGGCAGGATATAGCTTGGAAGCGGTTGGATGTTGACACATCCAAGTGCGTTTGCGAGGGCATGGTTTCTTGCTGCTGGATTCAATCCAAAATTGTGATGTGCAGAGGGCTTGTGGTGCGAACTCAGAGCACACCATACGCTGGCGTGATTGCTCAACTGCCTCCCGACATGCGCCCCAGTTCAGCAATGACCTTCGCGACACTCTGCAGACAGCCTGACAATTTGCTGTCTCTGGCTGCTCTGTCAGTGACGCGTGAAGGAAAGATCGTGGGAAATTTGCAGCCAGGATGCACACTAGATTTGAGTGGCATCAGGTTCGCCACACAGGGCGGGTTCCCACTATCCGAGGGAATACAGCTCTTCAGCTTCAAAGTTGGCACTCAGCGGTTTGGCATTTTGCAGGGCAGAACGTCCACAAAGTTCTTCCAAGTTGTAGCACAGCGAGCACTGGCATCGCTACCAGCTGACTTTACGCCCGTTGAGCGCCTCGCCTTTGCGATACCGGGCACCCGGTCAGGAGGCTTTCATTTGTTGCACTTAGTTCCCAGCTCACATGGTGGGCAATTACAGTGGAGCGATGCTGTATGGAATCGGGATGAGCTTGAGATATCAGGAATCATTTTCGAGATGCTATCTGACGTTAGCTGCATCCCATCCACCTTGATTAGCAACTGGAGCGAGGCTCGCAGAGAGATAGTCCTCATGGACTTTCACAAGTTGCTAATGTCAAGGTATGGCAGCTTGAACGTGGCCTGGCAGGAAGCTGTTGATGTTGATGACTATGGTTATGTGGATTTCGCCCAGTTTTCACAAAGCTGCAGACGCCTGCAGTACTGCGGCAACGTATGTAGACTCTGGTCCATGCTGGATCCCAACAACACAGGCACTGTGTCTTTTGAAGCGCTGCTTGGTCGATCCAAATTCAATGCGTGAACAGAGGAGGTGAGGCGCATGGCGCCGAATTTGCGGCAGCTCTCTTCAGCAACTTCCCGAAGGGAAGATGCAACAGCAGCTATGCGGCATGAGATGGCGCGCAGAAAAGTCGCACGCCCAACCCCTAAGGCCATAGGCTGGCGAATAGCTCGTTGGGAAGCTCACAGTTTAATAGAACATGTCGTACGACCCAGTTCTGGTTCCCAAGTCGAGGCAAAATGGATTCCGAAGAGGATACAAGAAGGGAGGCCAGACTGGGGGGGTGTCGCACCAACACGATCTAGCTCCAAAAAGGAGACGGAGATGCGAGACAACACGGGAGACAGTGCCAAGGGCCCAGTTTGGGCCCCAAAAGGGAGACCAAAAGGGGGGGGCGCGTCACATTCTCCAGTTCGTTAGAGAGGGAGACAGGAAGACAGCAAGGGGACAACATTCGGCAGGCTCGTCACACGATCCGGTCCTGCTTCCAGCAGGGAGGACAAAAGCCAGGAACGCGATCCCGGTCTGGCTCTGCAAGGGAAGGAAATCCGGCTCGTTTTGCGACCAGGCTTTGACTCCATAAGAGACAACAAGGAGGACAGACAGGTCCAGGGGAGCATGACCCGAATAGAAATGGTAAGAATGTAAGGCGCACGGAAAAAAGTAGAAAGGGGTAGAGAACAATTGGGGCGCATCGCACGATCCAGCTTGGATTAAAGAGGAGACACGAGAGGGGCAAGATGGCTGACCCGCAGACAATGAGGACAACAAGATCACTGGGCGCATCTCACAGGGTCTGGTTTGATTCCGGACGGGAGAAACCAATGGGCACGATCCAGTTTTGGTTCCAGCAGGCAGAACATAGGGGAACCGGTCGCAATGCAGTTCACAAAGGTGGCAAAGAAGGAGCACAGAAGAAGGCCAATGTGACAAAATTGGAAAGTCAAGGGAGATAACGAGCGAGCCCCTATAGCAAACTATCTAGGGGACTCCTCAGCATACACACATGCTATGCCGGTCATGGGTCCCACTTGAGCTGATGGCAGGTGACCTTCCACTGCAGCAGCTACTTCAAGATGGGTTCATCAATGCAATCGCACATCTAGCCAGGATTGCCATGACTTACACAAAAATGTTGCCCACAGTGCCTGCAAAGCGTGAGGAGTGTGAAGGACATTCCGTCTGTGATGGGGTTCGAAACTATGAACGAACCCCATCCTGGATGGCTAGGCCCTGTCCTCATTTTGCAGCCTGAGTCTTGTTTTAGATTGTGCACAATGCCTCCTCGAACGCAGCTGCATCCAAGGCAGGGACTTTACCCAAGCACAGATCGGACCGGTCTCATCAGGACCAAACACTGGGCTTGAGCACGACAGATGTCAGTCCGCAGTCCTTGCACAGCACCGCCGTCAACAGCCCTCCTTGATCTCCACATATCTCCACCATTGTCTGTGCTCATTCCCCAAATGTGCGGTGTTAGCAGGAGAGAGCCCACTGGCGCAGCTCCAGCGATGTTCGCCAGGCAAGGGATCCCCCTGGGCGTCTTCGTGCTTGTGGGCACAAGCCGGTGTGTGGGATCCGCCCAGCAAGAAACTGCTTGACGCCTCGCGCTTCGATTGCGACTGGCTGACCGACTGCTTTGCCCCCTTTGTGGAAAGGTTTACAGAGGCGCTGCTTGCAGAGATGCCACATGCACTCATTGGAGTTTGCCCACCAGCATTTGGGAAAGAAGGTCAGCAGCCGTTTCCAGGGAAGCTGCACGCGCAAGCCTTCTGGACACCACACTTTTACGATGGCGTTGTGCTTGTGGGCAAAGTGTGGACTCCAGCTTTCGGAGTCGAGGAGACCTTGCCAGGGACGACACTCCTAGGCTTGATTCCAGCGCCACCAGTTCTGCCAATTTTCGGGCGGGAGGACATGCCCGGTAACTCCCTGCAACCCCAAACCATGCCAAACGTTTAATTTTGGGGTCTCGCCCTCTAACTCCATGGTAGAACCTGGAACCCCAGAAGAAAAGTACAATTACGTAGATTATTGGGGGGCCCGAGAGGCAGTAAAGCCTTGTTAAGGCCTAGAGACCCTTGCAACCCCAAGTTCCAGCTCGGGAGGAACGACTGGCATCATACAAGAGACAGCTGGAGCAAAAGTGCAGACTTGCTTCACAAGAAACTGCAAGCATGCTTGGAGAGATTGGAGTTCCCTTTGACCTCAAATCGCCAGGCATGGCACCATCAGATGCCCTTCAGGAGTCCATTGATGTGCACATGCGGGCATTGGAGGAGCTCATGCTGCCATTCTGCTGGTGGAATTACACCCCAGAAAATTGCAAAGCCAGAGGGGACGGCTGGAACGGCGAAGATCTGTCAATCCTGAGTGAGGACGGGGGACGTGCCCTCGACGCGATTGTTCGTCCTTGCCTTTTGGTATGCGCAGGGAGTCCAGTGCATCAGACTTTCGATCTTCAAGAGGGATACTTTCAATGTGAGTTCGATGCGGAGCCCGGAGAGTCCCTCTTTTTCATTCCCTCCCGTCACTTCAGCGCTGACAATGCCATCCTGTCTGTCACACCCGGTATAGATGCGCTGTGGAATGTGGAACTCCAGACTTTGGTATGCCGTTCAGATCGGGTGGCTCGCGTTGTGGTTGACCTGCGGAAGAAAAAACTTCAAGAGCGAAGTACATGTCGCATTGCCTGGGTAGCTGTGAATGTTCACTTCGGCGCTATCTTTGGCAGAGTTGGCAGAACAACAGTTCGTGACGAACTGATGGGGCAACGCCATTCAAGTAGCAACAGCTGTGATTCCGACTCATTCCCCAAACAGCGAGATGCAAAATCAGCTCGACATGCAAGCACAACACCCTTGACAGACCGTAGGGCAACATAGGCCAAACCACTCTGCCAAAATCAAAAACACGCCCAAAAGTCGGAAATCCTAGTTTGACCTGGCAGCTAGCCCTATCAGCGAAGGCTAGAAGATGCGACGAAACTATTGCAAGTTGCAAGTGACACTAATCGATAATGAGCCAGACAAAGTCCTGTTCAAAAGAATTCAGAATGGTCCACGCCAGTCGCTGAGCAATGCAGCAGCCTCCGCCGCAGTCGCTGATAGGTACGCTTCAAAGTTGTCTTTGAAGTTGGTATGATCGACAGACAGCGCAGCGGATCAGGGCCTGCCTCGCAACCCTCGAGGTGGAGCATTTTGCACGTGCAAAGCAGTGAAAGGGAGCGGAGTCCCAGAGAGAACTTGCTTGTCACTTGCCTGTGCATCGCAGGTCATCCGGGACTCAGGCCTGCACAATAGAAGTTCTACTTGACGTCACCGGTTATCCTAAAATGTGTCAACACAAGATGCTTACACTTGACTTGCAAGAATTATGGTCAATCTGGCAACACACAAATTGTTTGCAGAAACCCTAACCATTGTTCTGCGTTTGTTTGGCATCCATCTCCAGGATTGCTAAGTGTTTCATTCTGTGACACTTTCTCATGATCCCTTGTATTGCTTTTTCCGCCGGGCATGTGTTGCCATGGTGCTCGTGTGTTTTTGCATATTAGGACATTCTGGAAAAGGCTCAGGTGGAGAATCATGAAAGTTGAGGATGCCGACTCGGATACCATGCTTCTCAAAAGAGAGGTCGAAAACCTTCGGGAGAGCACGCAAGAAAGATGCATCCAAATGGCATAGCACCCATCAAGTCGAAGATCTTCGCCCACCCACGCTTAATCGTAGTGTTTGGTGTTGTACCAAGTAGGTCGCACCATCTCATCTTTGTGCAGCGGAAAGAAAGCACGAAAGAAAACATGTCCGCAGATCGCGCGGGGGCTTGCCCCCAGGCCCCCAGAATGAAAGAAAGAAAAGATCATGTCTGTTGTGAGCCGGTCATACTAGAGGAACTCCTTACCCCGTTTTGGAGGGGTGTGTGTGTGTGTGCGCGCGACAAGACATTTGCCAATAGTGTTTTCTTCCATGCCCTACTCATGAAAACTGCTTATCACATGTGCACAGGCCCATGGTGGCACCGTGCCAGCGAAGCTGCCCACCATGCAGATCGTCACTTCTATGCCCCTGCATTAGATGTGTTTGTTACGAAATGTGCATGGTTCCATCCTCGTTGTTGTGCATTAATAACCCCCTTTACCCCTCACACGTGATAAATCGCGTCTTGAAGGCTTGGAGGGAGCGGGGGGCCTGTGGTCCAATATGGCGCGCGAAACATTTTGCTTTGACATAGTGTGAAATGCTTGCGCAGCTGGTGCAACATCAAGCCTTATGGACAACGATAAAGACTCAGATCGCTACTCATGGACCTGACTTTTCTGCAAAATGCATCTGGAAAGCTTCCTTTCCTAGCCCTCGAAAACTATGCGCAACTTGCCAAGATGTGCTATCTGGTTATATGCTCCCGCAAGCACACACACACACATGAGTTCTGTACCCGCGGCTTCTGCAGAGTGAAGCCCACTATACAACAGTTGCATAGCAGGACTTAACTGTTGTCGGCCTGCACGTCGTCTCGCGAGCAAAGCTTTTGTTGACCACCACCTCTGATTACTTGAGGAAGTTGAGGACCCCCAGGCATTTTACAAATCTTACAAGGCATTGTTGGCCGAGCATCTTGCAGCCATCCTCACCATGCAAGGTAGTGAGCCCAGTACACAGCCTCATCACGGCAAAGCAGAGTCAGCCCAAGCCATGCCTCAGATTCAAATAGCGAAGTGACTGCTTTGCTACGCCACCTCTGGGATTCAAGCTTCGTACCTTGTCATGTTGTTGACCGGGATCGGCGCCCCTCCATGAACAAGCGGGATAGCCAAAAGTGGGCCGACATCACAGCTGAAGGGCCATCGTGGACCCACCCGTCCAGCGCTACGGCACCAAACCACTCTTCCCATCTCTAGGAAACAGGACGTGGTTCCACTACATGGGCAAGAAAAACCCTCTCATCACATCCATTCCATCTGGTTGTCCTGAATGCCGGCCACTGGTGATCGGCTGGGCTCTCCCACCGTCATCCAAGTCAATACGATTTGTCAAGTCGTGCATCTCGCGCATCAACGAAGGGAAGTCCTACATGCTTGTACATGTTGTTGGTGCTGTTGCTCAAGTTGCTGTTCTGTCTGCCCCTCACTTGGCTTGGTGGTATGTCCTGACGTGGCCATTGCCATTGCCAATGATTAAACACGTTACACTTGTAATCAGTAAAATGAGCTAAAACAAATCGAACGACTCAACTTATCTGAAAGAATCAAAGAATCTAGATTAGTTAAACTAATTGAACTAGTTGAACCAGTAAGTTGAAGATTCTTTTAAGCAACTAAGTTGAGAGCAGCTGGGGGCCTTGAGCTCTAGGCTAAGGGGTTACTTAGAATTGAAGTACTTGAATCCGAGAATCAAGAAAAGTTAGTGAATTTGTTCAATTTTTGAAATTAAGGGCGCTTGAAGCTTTGGTTCTGCGAAAGACTGTTTGTTTTTCCCTCCCAAACCGGAGAAGACCTCAATAAACTCTATCCGACATGGCGTTGCTGTTGTCGTTTGGGGCTCGTTCCGGCATGCTCTAAGGGATTATTTTGTGAAAACCCCATTAAGAGCCCTAAATGGTAAAGCCTGCTTAAAGCTTTCAAACTGTATGTCCTGGCTGGGAGGACGATCGCATGCTCACTGTACGCTCAAGCAGAACAGCGAAACAATGAATGGAAGGGTAGCTGTGAACAAAGTAAGCACTTTCATGCCATGCAATTGACACAGGGGCCTAAGTAATCTTGCACGGATTAGTGCGCCATGGCCTTCACCTCGTGCTCAAAAGGAATACTGGCTGGTTTTAAGCATTTGCCTTGACATTACGGGTTGCTACACTCAAAAGGAGGCATCCAAAAAAACAGCAGCCGGCTGTTCATGCCTGTGATTGTGTCACTTTACGCTTGCTGCCTTTCAACGTTTAGCTAGGAGCAACCCGACGCAAAAGAGAGCAAAATGCCTCCAAGTCTGAGCACACAATGCCTTGAACATTTGGTTGTTTCGAGGCGATCTTTTCTCCGGTGAGACAAAAGCTCTGGCCCAAACACCCAAGCCTGCAGCAACTAGCCTCGAAACACGCCTTTGCCCTTCTTGCAAGGGATCTAGTGGTTTCTTGTTGTTTCGCCTTCTCATGCTTTCTGTCTGGCCACACACATTGGGCGAGTAATCTGACACGCTTGGCTGCCTACCCCGTGCCTGCCTTTTTCATGGCCGAACCCAATGCAAAAGCGACATCAATGCTTGGGGTCTGTGGTTGTTTTGAGCCAGTAAAATTTGGAGTAGAAGAAAGTTTACGTTGATGCCGATTCGGTGACAGTGGGCGTGTGCCGCAGTATGCCCTTGAAAACCCTTGTGATAAGACCATGAAGATGCGCACGTTCGCACTATGAATGTACGCAACCTACCCTGTTTTCAGGTGCAGCCGCCCGTTGTTGTGACAGAGGTGCACCCAGACATCGCAAGCCAATCAGAGGCAAGTGACAAGTAAATGGAGTGCGAGGCTGACAGAATAGCATGGATGCGACGATTTCTAGCAGCATTGGACTTATGGCCAGCATCTCAACTTTGACTCAAATGTCGCCTTGCTGCGAGTTTGCTTCGAGTCAGGAAGCGATGCCTTGACTCGGCTACCCCAAGCTTCCAGGCAGAATTCTTGCAATGTCAAGTAGATCCATGAGCGCAGGCAAAGAGCCCAGAGTTAGGTTGTCTTAGTTTTCCCAGGGCAGCGCGCCAAAAGAGGAAGCCCAGACCTGAGACTGCCGGCTCCTCTCCACTGTTTGATGTGCTATCTGTCCGGCATAAGTTTCATGTGGCGCACAATCGTGAAGAGAGCAGCGCCACTGGGGGCGGATTTATTTGCTGTAGGGGATTCTACAGGCAAGTGCACAGACGGACCCGCCCTGGAAGCGGCAGAGAGTGGCCACTCGGCCGCATGGGATCATTCGCTGCTGCAAGCACGTAAAATTGTTGCCAAGACTTGCATCTGCTGCAGGAAACAATCCCACAAGGCAGCTGGATTCTCACCCCGGGCAGTCCTAGTGTACTTTACATCGTGCGGGAAGTGCCACATGATTGCTTGCGAGCGTCATGTTGGCATGTGTCAGGTCCAGAAACGCAGAAGGCGAAAAGGGCAAAGTGTGTTCTTGAGGCTTGCTTGTATTGCACCTCAGTGTCCAGACAGGCAATCACTGAAGTCAGTTGACACAGACGTCAGCTGCCGGCAGAAATGACGGCACAGGCAGGTGACCGCACAACGTGCCGCCATGCGTCAATTCATGTTGGGGTTTGCGATGGCAGGACGCATTGGCCGAGTCTTCAGCCTCCCTGGCAATGTGGTTGACTTGGTCTCTTCGTGGTCTAGCTTTGTCGGATTTGCCATTTCCGCTCCCGTCTTGCAAACGCAAAATTCTCGAATTTGAATCCATACGAAACTTGAGAAATTTGTTAAGAGGTCTCGTATGAATGGGAAAAGACCAAAAATTCAGAGATGTTCGTCGTGATGAGGTATTGACCTAGACCAAAATGGTGGCCAAGGACAATTCTAAATTAAGAATCATTTATTCGATATTGATTTCGGATAAGTATTCTTGGATTTTATGATCTAGAATTCTATGATTCATGGGGCGAATAAGGAATTTCTACAAACTTACCTCAATATTGAGAATCCATCCTACAAATATTATATATTTATAAATTATAAATATCATTCATTCTTCCAATACTAATAAGAGAAGATTTGGATTCAAAAATTTATTATGAATACTCATGACTATAGATTTCAATTAGTAATTCGTCTTTTCCACGAACCCTATAATATTTTGATAAACCCTAACAGCTTTAGGATTCTTTAAATCGAATTATTCTTCTAAGAAGAAAATATTCTCTCTTAGGGATTCTATGCCCTTAATTATTCACGATCTTCATCTATTCTTCTTAGAAATGAAAGATATTTCATTTCGAAAGTATCAATGAATATTTCAAAAAGGTTGGCGTCATATAATGATTAAAAATTGATTAATGATCAACATTTTGAAAATATCATATCATTATCCCCACCAAATTGATACAACCAATATGGCAAACCGATCCAATATAAGATGATCTCAATAAACGACCACCACAGACAAAATATTTGAACCAAAACGGTGTCTCAACCCCACTAAAGGCCAGACCGAACCAAAAGGGTGTCTCAATACCACTTCGGCAGAAAATCAAAAATGTTGATCCAAAAGGATAATTCAATACCATTTCAGCAGAAAATCCAAAATATTGAATCAAAAGGATGTCTCGATACCACTTGAGCCCAGATTGAACCACAAGGATATCTCAAGCATTTCAGCAGAAAACCAAAACAATTGAATCTCACGAATCAAAAGAATATCTCAACAACATTTTGATAGACACCCAATTATATTGAATCAAAAGGATAAGTCAATTCTACTTTACCAGATCGAATCAAAGGGATATCTCAACAAATATTGCAATGAAATCATCCTTTGAAATCCAAGATGAATAGAAATTTCAATGAAATCTTCCTCAAAAATTCAGGATATGAAGAAATTATAATGAGACCTTCCTCAGGAATAATGAAATCATCCTTTGAAATCCAAAATATATAGAAATTATATCGAAACCTTCCTCAAAATTTCAGGACGTATAGAAATCATAATGAAAATTTGCTCGGGAGGACCAAATATGAAGACATTATCACGATACCATCAATTGAAATCCAAGATGAATAGAAATTGCAGTGAAAAGTTCCTCGGAAATTCCGATCATATAGAAATTATAAAGAAACCTTCCTCAAGAATTCCAAAATTTGAATCATCCTTTGAATATAAGACCTATAGAAATTGAAATGAAATCTTCCACCGAAATTCAGGACGTATAGAAATTCTAATGAATTCTTCCTCGGGAATCCCAAGCGAGCAGATATTACAACGAAGCCATCCTTTGAAATCGAAGATGTGAAGAAGTTACAATGAAAAGTTCCTCCGAAATTCAGGACGTATAGAAATTGAAACGAAATCTTGATTAGGAATTCCAATTGTGCAGCCATTGCAACGAAATCAGCCTTTGAAATCAAAGATATATAGAAATTATAATGAAAAATTCTCCGAAATTCAGAACGTGTAGAAGTTACAATGAAAAGTTCCTCCGAAATTCAGGATGTATAGAAATTGCATCGAAATATTATTGAGGAATTCCAATTGTGCAGACATTGTAGCGAAATCATTCTTTGAAATCCAAGATATGAAGAAATTACAACGAAAAAATCCTCCGAAATTCAGGACGTATAGAAATTACAACGAATTCTTGTTCGGGAAGTCCATTCGAAAAAATGTTTCAACGAAACCATCCTTTGAAATTCAAGACATGAGAAAATGCAATGAAAAGATTTCTCCCAAATTGGAATATAAAGAAATTATAACGAAATCTTCCATAGGAATCCCAAATATATAGATCTTATAACGAAATCATCCTTTGCAATCCAAGATATATTGAAAATGAAATGAAATCTTCCTCAGAAATTCAGGTCATATAGAAATTGCAACGAAATCTTCCCCAGGAATGCCAGATGCATAGATATTGCAACGAAATCATCCTTTGAAATATAAGATATATAGAAGTTTCAACGAAACCTTCCTCAGAAAATCAGGCTAAGAAGAAATTGTAATGAAGTCTTCCTCGGGAATTCCAAGCGTGCAGATATTGTAATGAAATCATCTTTTGATATCCAAGATATGAAGAAATTGCAACGAAAAATTCCTTCGAAATTCAGGATATGAAGAAATTGTAACGAAATCTTCCTCGGTAATCCCAAATGTGTAGATATTGCAACGAAATTATCCTCCCATTCCAAGACGTATAGAAATTGGAACGAATCCCTCCTCAACAAATCTATAGAAATTTTAACGAAATCATCCTTTGAATTAGAAGATGAGAAGAAATATTATCACGAATCTTCCTCAAGAATAAGGAAATCTCCCTTGAAAATCCAAGGCGTATAGAAGTTACAACGAAATCTTCTTCAGAAAATCAGGATATAAAGAAGTTGTAACGAAATCTTGTTCAGGAATGACGAAGTCATCCTTTGAAATCCGAAATATATAGAATTTTAAACGAAAAATCCTTCCGAAATTCAGGACGTATAGAAAATGCAATGAAATATTACTCGGGAAGTCCAAATGTGTAGACATTGCAACGAAACCATCCTATGAAATTTCAAGACGTATAGAAATTATAAAGAAAAAATCTCCGAAAATCAGAATATAAAGAAAATAAGATAAATATGAAGTCATTTCAACGAAACCATCCTTTGAAAAGCGACTTCCTCAGAATTTCAGGATGAAAATTATGACGAAAATTTCATCGAGAATCCCAAATATATAGATATTTGCAACGAAAATATCCTTTGAAATGCAAGACCTGCAGAAATTGAAACGAAACCTTGCTCCGAAATTCAAGACGCCAAGAAATTATAACGAAACCTTCCTCGGGAATTCCAAATATGCAGATATTGCAACGTATTCATCCCACGAAATCCAAGATGTATAGAAATTCAACGAAAAGTTCCTCCGAAATTCAGGACGTATAGAATTTGCAATGAAGCCTTCCTCAGGAATTCCAAAAATTATAACGAAATCATCCTTTGAAATCAAAAGAATATAGGAATTATATGGAAAATTCCTTCGAAATTCAGGAATTATAGAAATTGCAACGAAACCTTCCGTGGGAAGCCCGAATGAGAAATCATTCCAATGAAACCATCCTTTAAAATCCAAGATGTGAAGAAGCTGCAACGAAAGCTTGTTCCGAAATTCAGGATGTGAAGAAATTTCAATGAGATCTTGCTGGGGAATTCCAAACGTGCAGATATTGCAACGAAACCATCGTGCGAAACGCAAGACGTATAGTAGATGTAACGAAGTCTTCTTCAGAAATTCAGGACGTATAGAAATTCCAATGAAATCTTCCTCGGGAATCCCAAAGATGCAGATATTATAACGAATCCATCCTTTGATATCCAAGATGAATAGAAAATATAATGAAACCTTCCTCCGAAAATCAGGATGGGAAGAAATTCCAACGAAATCTTCCTCGGCAATCCCAAATTCAGATATTGTAATGAAATCATCCTTTCAATTCCAAGACGTGAGAAATTGCAATGAAATCTTCCTCAGAAAACCAGGACATATAGAACTTGCAACGAAACCTTCCTCGAGAATCCCAAATGTCCAGACATTTACAACGAAATCATCCTTTGAAATCCAAGATGAATAGAATTTTCAATGAAATTTTGCTCCGAAACTCAGGACGTGAAGAAATCATAACGAGCTCTTGTTCGGGAATCCCAAGCGTATAGACATTACAACGAAATCATCCTTTGAAATACAAGACGTATAGAAGTTACAACGAAATCTTCCTCAGAAAATCAGGACGTATAGAAATTGCAACGAAATCATCCTTTGAAATCCAAGATGGGAAGAAACGACAACGAAAATTTTCTCCAAATCTGAGGACGTCTAGAAATTGCAACGAAACCTTGTTGGGCAATTCCAAACGTGCAGATATTGCAACGAAACCATCCTGCGAAATGCAAGACGTGAAGCAACGAAAACATCTTCCGAAATTCAGGATGAATGCAAATTTCAACGAAACGATCCTGGATAATTCCAAATACGTAGATATTGGCAACGAAATCATCATTTTAATTCGAAGATATATCGAAATCTCAGCGAAGTCTTCTTCTGAAATTCAGGTCATGAAGAAATTGAACCTTGCTCGAGAAGTCCATATAAGCAGATATTGCAACGAAAACATCCTTTGAAATCCAAGATTAATATATTTTTCAATGAATCCTTCCTCAGGAAAGTAGGACGAATAGAATTTGTAACGACACTTGATTCAGGAATAATAAAATAATCCTTTGAAATCCAGGACATGAAAAATGGAACGAGACCTTCCTCAGAAATTCGGAACGTGAAGAGATTTCAATGAAAGATTCCTCGGAATCCCAAACACAAAGATGCTGTAATATCACAATCCTAAATCCAAGATATATAGAAATTATAACGAAAAATTCTTCAGATATTCAGGACGTATATAAATTATAATGAAACCTTCCTCGGGAGTTCCAAATATCCAGATATTTGCAATGAAATCATCCTTTGAAAAACAAGATATGAAGAAATTACAATG